CCCCTCGCGGCCGCCCGGCGTGGGCGGTGCCACCACCACCCCCACCCCCCCTCGAGCTGCTGCCCGGCGCGCAGCTCCCCAGCCCCCTCCTCCTCGGATGTGGCTGGAGCTTGAGGCGCGCAGGGCCGGAGACGCCGCAGACCCGGGACCCGGAGCAGCTCGGAGGCGGTGAAGTCGGTGTCTTTCTTTCTCTCTCTTTCTCTACTCGGTGGTGGTGCTTAAAATACCACCTGCGCCCCAGGGATCCTTCCCCCACCCAGTTCCCTGCTTCCCGCCCGACCCCGAGTGGGGTGCAGGCGGGAAGCAGCGGAGAGTCGAGCGGAGACCCCGCGGCTGGCCTGGCGCTGGGCCGGCGCCTTGAGTTAGTTGTGGGGGAGGGGGAGAACGAGACTGTTCTCGAGAGGGTAGAGAGCCGTGGCGACAGCCGCCTGATTTCTAGACAAAGCACATTTCCTTTTCCCCTCCCCCATCCGCGATCAAGATGAGGGGCCCTCCTCCCCCTCACGGCCTCGGTCGGCGACTTGGGCCTCCAGTGAGGGCGGTGCGTTCTCCCGCATCAGCGCGACCCGCTGTTCCGAGGCTGCGGCGGGCGCTCCGTTACGTGGCTACCGCCGGGTGGGGGACAACGCGGGCCCGGTGGTGCAGTGCCCTTGAGCCCCCGGGCCGCGGCCTTTGTTTCTCCCGGCGGATGGGCTGACCACGAGGCCCGCGCTCCTGGGTGGGGGGCGGGGGCCGGGTGTTTAGGCCTCGCAAAGCAGGGTGGGGCTTACGGGGAACGGATAGAAGAGGTGGTTTGTTTTTTTAAAAGTGGTACGAAATGGGACTGAAGCATCTCGATACGGTTTTTTTCCTTTTTCAGTTTTTAAACTAGTGATTAGAAAGGGGGAGGGTTTCCAAGAAACCAAGTTGGGGTTTTATAGGCGCCTCTTTGGACTGTTAAAAGGTCTAGAGGGGAAATTCACGATAATATACCGTTGTGATTGGTTGGGTGATCACGTCGAATTTGAACCAAATTATCTGGCCATTTTCTTAAAAATGCTGGGTATGACATAAACGGGACTTATATTGAAAAAAATTTTTGCTGTTTTTTCCTTTGTAAAACTGTCTCAGATACCAGCGTACCCAATAAGGTTTTCTAGACCCACTTGGTTAGAGCACTGATGTATTCAGCAAACATAGATCACTGATAACGCAGGATCTCAAATCTGCATCTCTGGATTTGAGTACAAGTTTTACAATATACGATACATAGTGGGGGTTGGAATCCAAACAGAACTTGTGTTTAGCTACCTTTTTTGTGTCGTGCAAACTTCTTTTTAACTGTCATGCATTTTTCTAGTAATAGCTCTTCAAGTCTGCAATAAAAAATGGCCTCCAATAAAACTACATTGGTAAGTTCATGAAAACCTAAAATTTGTAAGGATCTAACTCAAATTTTTTTCCCCAAAATTATAAGTTTGCATCTCTATGGTTGAGATATTTACATCCACATGTATTTCCCAGTTCCCCCCCGCAGTGTTGTAATGGGGAGAAATAGAGGCAAAAACGAAATCATTACATTGAGATACTTATTGACCTGGCTGAATAGTGTCTTAATCCATTTAGAGAAACCTAATCTTGGCAGGATAGTACAATGAATTTTACAGAGTATTTTTATCTTGAAATAAAAATAAACTTTCGCAACATGGAAGAATTTTTACAAGCATAAACACAATGCTGTAAGGCCCTTGCTCATTGGCGTAACAGTCCCTAAGTCACCCTATAATGAATTCTAGAGAATCCAGGTATTTTCAGTTTTGCTCAGTTTAAAGAACCTAGATTGGGACAAAGGTCATTCAGTTACTTTGCTCATGTTGTCCTATTTCGAATTTGATTATTCTAAAATACATAAAGGTCTTAAATTCAAATCATTGCCATGGTTTTTTTTTAATACCAAATAAAATCATATATATGTCCAAGAAGGGCAGAAGAGTAGATTTGGATCTTGCGAGCAATTACATTTTTTCTCTCCACTGTCTTAAACCCTAAGTTTGCATTCTTAAACTTCATTAAAAGTTCTTTGAATGTATAAAGACATCCATATGTTCAGCCATATCAAGTTACAGATTTTTTGAGAACACTGAAATATTCACATAAAAATAGTGAAATTCAAAGTTAATGGTTCTCACAGTAATTCTAATATATTTCATCAATAATTGGAATTGTATTAAAGGTCAGTGTTAACATCTAAATAAAGCAAAACATTGGTTTTTGGTTTGTATATTCTCCCCTTGGGTTTCATACTAAAAAGGCAAGTTTGGTTTTTAATCTTTGCCATCAAGAGGTTGCACGTTTAACTCATATTCTGGGAAACGTTGAAATAAATACAAATTCTGTGGCACAAATGATTCCCATCAAAACCGTCAATGGAAAAAAACACAAAGCATCTTCTATGCCCCCTCAGGATTGAACTGTCCTTCAAATTCCGTAAGTGGTAGACCAAAGTGTAGATAATTGAATTGACTGTATGACCTGTGACCTTCAGGTACTGGAAAGAGAAGAAACTAGCTGTCCCTGGGACTTTGAGGATGAATAGAGATACAGGAAGCAAACATAGATGCTTCTGTTGCTTTGGCACACAGTTTTGAGAGTCTTCAGTGTCCATAACTAAATGATACTTAATTATCTTACTCTTTGCTAAAGGATCATAAATTGACAACTTTGAAAGATTTTCTTAATCTTCTAAGAGATGAGGTTTGTTAGTTTAGGTGGGAAAGTGGGTGAATTTTTTTCTGAAAAGAAAAAGGTGAACACTTACTTGTAACCAGCTTTTGAGTGCCATAGTATTAGTGTTTATTCTTTTCACTTTGTGTTTATTTTTGTTATCCTCTTTATTCTGTTAATCTCTTACTTTCATGAACATAGCTGATTTGTTTATCATTTAGGATCAGTATCGAGTAGGCTACAGTTTTTCTTTTCTCTTGCTACCATTCCTTGTACAGAAGCAAAAAGCACTCCGACTGGTTGCAATACCCAAGTGTCTTGACTAATGAAAATTATAAGAAGAAAGAAAATTGTAAGGCCTGATTTGGAGATGGTATCCAACAAAAGCAGATATTTGCTGGGTTATTTTAAATTCCAGAGGATTTTTATTTTTTATATGTGTGTACACCTCTAAATAATTACATAATTTTAATTTTAATGTCCTTTTGCAAGCTTGAGGCACTGCTGTTGTTACTTTTCTGCTTGTATGCTATGGGGAGAGGTGACTTTAATGACTAGGCAGTTAAGTTTTTTTTTTTAATAGCACCACTGAAATTATTTTAAAATTAACATAACATTTGAGATTTTCCCCGCTTCGTCTCTTCTAATTAACCATTTCAGTTTTTTGTTTTATCTGCTTTCAGTCTTCATAACATGAGTTATTGGAAAATAGTGGTTTTAGTTTGGTCTTTTGGCTTTTCTCATAGTGTTAACACAAAAAAGAAAATACTAATCTAAAAATTTGTTTAAGGTGAGTTTTGTTGGCTACCATTTTAACACCTGAGAAACCAAGAAAGAAGGATTTTCACATTAGAGAATTATTTTTGCCTCTTCAAGTGACCACGTAACTTTGTTCTGTGTGATCTGTAATATTATATACAGAAATTATGGAACAATAATAGTGTCCTTTTTAACCTATTCATGGTCTTAGTTGATTCTACAATTGATCTCAGGATTCTGAACCATGTTTTCATTCTGCACTTACCTCTTTCTGTATAATTGAGACTTTTAACACTGGTGTTTATATTGAGAAAGAGTTGTTAGTGTTTGGGGGCTGTAGTTTTTAAATGGGACTATGGTTCACTTAATAAGGTCTCATTAGTATTTACTCTCTTTGTATTATCTTCTAATACTTTGTAGTTGTTTGTTGCTGTGTTGTAGTTAAAAAGAGTGCAAACTCTAGTAAACTTGGTCTTGTAAACTAGGTAAGATATTAGATTTAGAAAAGATAAGAATATTTTCCAGATAGTGTTTTTGATTGTATTATTTCAGCTGAAAGGGGTGGGTGATAGGTTTGAGCTAAAAGGGAATTAAGTATTCTTTTTGATTATCTGTTGACTTTTATCTTTTCATAACGTGTCTGCCCTGGGATATAGAAGTAAAAATATAGGTGTCAGATGCAACGATAATATGAATATTAGCCTTTAAAATGTACTCAAAAGTGAAAAAAGGAAGGTTTCTTAAATGTCTCTTTTGTTTTATTTTAGCAAAAAATGGGAAAGAAACAAAATGGAAAGAGTAAAAAAGTAGAAGAGGCAGAGCCTGAAGAATTTGTGGTGGAAAAAGTACTGGACCGACGTGTAGTGAATGGGAAGGTGGAGTATTTCCTGAAGTGGAAGGGATTTACAGAGTAAGGAATCTGGTGCTTCTGTTATATGTTTAACTGCACCTAAGTGACATTTAAAATTTGCTTTTAGTCTGGGGTTTTTAAAATCCGTTTCCCCATACATTTCTCTTCATTTAAAGACACCTTTATTCCAGGGTACTTTGAGACCTGTTTAAAAAGAGTCCTGTCTTTAGCCTACAGTTGTAACCAAGCACATTTGAAATTAGTTGATTGACTTGGAGAGTCAAATTTATAGGCATACAGTTTATTGTGTAATGCATTTTAATGTGGTTAGATATTATACTAATTAAAGTATCTAATTGACATTGTTTTCTTATATACAGAGAACACTAAAAGTGTTGAAGCTATATAAGGTAGACTGGTGGGTGTTGAACAGAAGTGCTTATCATCCAGGACCTCTAGGATGCACTAGGTTTACTGTATCCTAATCTCTTAAGAAGTGGTGTGGGCATTTTTTAAGCTCCTTAGTTCTTTATGTTCCTTGTTACTAATTGCTCTCATAATTTCATAGTGTTAGCTGTATTGCAAATAACTCATGCAGGAATTCCAGTCTTATATTTAACATTTATCATGTGCTAAATCTGCCTTATACCACAAAAACAGCAAGGCTCTGTCATCAGTGACTTATTGAAAATGGATAGGTAGAGATAGACAACAGTTTTCTGAGTTTGGTGGAGATGGGGGAGTGTTCTCGTCAAATAATTAGGCTTCGGAATATCTGTTACCTACTACTTGCCCCACCATAGCAATTTGGGAATTACAAGTTGAGTGGAAGATTTAAGGTTCTTTATTTTATCCTTCTAGTATCCTTAGTTGAGCTTAAGTATATAGTATAAGTTCATAATTTGCCACTAGAAAAATTTCCTTACAGATAGCAGAACAAAGCAAAATAAGTCTGAACTATTTTAAAGTTAGATGTAACCAGTATGCCAAAGAATTGATCACCTTCGTGTGATAGGTTTTTTGTTGTTTGTTTTGAAATCTCATGAGACATTAAATGCTGTTTGTCTCTGTCCAGCCCATCAAAATGTTAAGAGACTTAACTCCTTTTCTCCCTCTTTCTCTCAAACTTAAGGCCATTAGTATGGCTGAGAACCTACTATGTGCAGTACAATGTATTAGGTAATACAGAAGTCTGTAATTAAAGTAACACTACAAAATGGAAGGTCTGCTTCAACTCTTTAGTCCTCCTCTATCCTCTGATTCAAGTTTGCCAGTTTTAGCATCTCAGGATATCAGAAGACCCCAAGTTGTAAATAGTGCCTTTCTTTTCTGTCACTCTAAAATGATTAATTTCATTCTATCTTGTTTTTTAAAGGCTTTTTGGATCAGAGTGCACAAAGTTAACAAGCCTATAGAGCACCTGGCTGGCTTTGTTAGTAAAGCATGCGGTTCTTTGATCTTGGGGGTTGTGAGTTTGAGCTCCACATTGGGCGTAGAGTCTTAAAAAAAAAAGTTAGCAAGCGTATCACTAGTGTAGGATTATCTAACATTCACGTTTGGTAATTGATATTCATTTTCTTTCCAGTCCTTCTGAAAAACACATGAAAGTAGTCATTTTGGCATCATATCAGGGATTGCCAAACTTTTCCCTTAAAGAATCATGTAGTAAATAAATAATTTAGGCTTTGTGGGCTGTAGATCTCTCACAATTACTCAACTTTGCAAATATAGTACAAAAGCAGCCGTAGACACTACGTTAAACAAAGGAGCATGGCTGTGTTCTAATGAATGGGCCCTCATTTCCTATAATTGTCATTTTGAAATTTTTTCCCAATTAAAAATGTGAAAAACATTTTTAGTTGGCCCAACATATAAAAGCTGGGTTTGACCTTTGGGTTGCCAACCCCTGCTTTTTATCATTGCCCAATCTGAGCACCCAGCAGAAGTTGAAAATACTGCCTCACATATAGAATGCCTTAGAATTTTTGTGTTTTCAAACATGGTGTTGAAGGTCCCAACTAGAGACATAGTCTGACTGATCTGATAAAGTAATTTGGGGTGGGAATAGGGAATCCTCATTTTTAAAAAGCCTTTGCAGAGAGATTCTGAAGTGGGTTGTCTGTGTAACTGGGGAAAATATTAGTTCCAATTATTCTGCCAGAGCAGGTATGTTAACTTGGAGGTAATACAGCAGACTGCGCACTTACTAGAGGCTAAGAAAATAGACACAGGAAGTATAAGCAGATTTTATCAAAAGAATGGGGATAGGGAGAAAAAGGTAAGCATCTGCAGTACAGCAGACTTTTTTTTAGATACATGTTAAATGTAGATGATGGTGATGAATCATATTTAATTGATTTTTTTTTTTTAACTGAACCCAGTGCTGACAATACTTGGGAACCTGAAGAAAATTTAGATTGTCCAGAGTTAATTGAAGCATTTCTTAATTCTCAAAAAGCTGGTAAAGAAAAAGATGGTACAAAAAGAAAATCTTTATCTGACAGTGAATCTGATGATAGCAAATCAAAGAAGAAAAGAGACGCTGTAAGTATAAAATATTGCCCAGCAGACTGACTTGGTAAAAGGTTGATGGCTTGATTTTTAAAATACATTAAAGATACTTTTAAGAACTCAAATACTTTTTAATGCTTAATATTCAGGACAGAAAGGATAGGCATGATTTAGCCTGCATCATATAAATGTTCAGTAGTAAGTGCTTATACGACTCACATTGTTGTGCTAGTGTTATTTTGAGTAGAGTCGTGGAGTTGATCCCTGATAAGGTCCATTTCCTGTGATCCAGGACTGGCAGTCTTAAATACAGTGAACACAAAGATTAGATCATTGCAATCCTTTACAATACAGTACAAACAATCCACAAAGCACATTCTGATTATGGACCATTGGTGGCACTGACCACCAGCATGTACTTTCACATGTGATCTTTGTTTTGTCAGAATATTGCCAAGCAACATTTTGATTTTGAAGTATATAATCTTCGGTAATAGAATTTTTTTAATATTTTTTGGTGTGAATTGAGACAACTGGTTCATTAACTACATGGGTATTTTGACCCAGTCTTTGCTTCACTAATGTGTCCGTGGCTTTGGGCAAAACATACAACTACTTGCTTATACCTTCAGCTCCAAAACAGATTGTCCTGTTTACCATGCCTGCTGGCAATTTGGGAAAAGGTCTTGATTCTGAATTAGCATTTAGGCTTGGGAACTAACATTGATAAGGTCTTTGGATTTAAAATTTGATCATCTGAATTAGATGCCAGGTAGTTTACAGATAACCTGTTAAATCTTCATGGCAGGTCTGCTAAGATTATAGGTATTATCCCCATTTTCCAGATGAGAAGCAGAGGTTGACTACAAATTTGGTTCTGGATGCTTTAGCAGCCAAAGCAAAAAGGTAACAGTGTTAAGAATCCATATGCATTAATTGAAAGTCAACCGTATATTCAGCAGAAGCACTGTTTAATAACAGTAGTTATCCTACACTGAGCTCTTAGAATGTGCCCAGCAGTGTTCTACATAACTTAATTTGCATTTTTTATACTACAAAACGTCCATGAGACAGATAGTATTATCATTCCTGTTTTATAGAGTAATGAACCTGAACCACAGAGAGGTTAACTTGCCCAAAGCCACACAGTAAAGGTTAGAGTCATTCTAACTAACCCAGGTAGTCTGACTCCAGAACCTGGGATAATGATATGAAAGTCTGGTAGGGAAAAGGGATTTCTTAATCTAAGCAGTTCTCAAACTCTTTTGGTCTCAGAACCCCTTTAATACTCTAGAATATTGAGAATCTCGGAGAACTTTTATTTATATGTGTTACAGCCATCAATCCTAATTATATCAGAAATTAAAACAAAGTTCTAAAACATTTGTGTATTCAGTTAAGAAAGACAAAACCTATTGCATGTTCATAACTTAAAAAAATAACTTTAAATGAGAAGTGGCATTTTACAGTTTTGCAAATCTTTTCAGTGTCTAGCTTAAGACAGTTCTGCATTTGATTTGCTGTCTTAATGTTGTTTGGTAGAGGCATATGAAGATATTCTGAAGTCAAAGATAAATGAAAGAAGGGGACCTTGCAAGATAAACAGACACCCACTAAAGGTCTCAGGGATCCCCAGGGATCCTGAGACCACACTTGTAGAACCATTGGTTTATGCTAAGTATTTTTTAAGGTTTCCTACAAGGCAGATCGCTTACAATACTGATCAGTCTTAGTTTCAAAGTTTTTACTATTTGGCTATTTGTATTTTGTGTGTGCTTTAAAAATGTGTGGGTAATTTAGACTAATTCCTAAAAGTGATTTGAAATACTAACTTTAAAGAATTTATAATTATTGATGAGTTAGCAGAAATAAAGGGATTAATTTGTGTGCCTACACAGTTCTGTCTTCTGATGTGTTAGGATAAAGAAAGGTATTTATTTTCTTGCCTTGGAATTCAGAATACTTTTAGATACCTGGATTTGTTTTTTCTTGGAAGGTTAATGGAAATTACAATGTGTTTTAGTACTAAATAAGAGTTCTGTCTCCTGTCATTTCTTTTTCACTTTCATTTGAAAGCTATATTTCACGAAAACAAATTGGAAGTTAGTATTACTAGTTTGCAATATGGAAAGTCGGTGAAACCTTTATGTAAAGAGTCATTTAACATCTTTTGATCAGGCTGATAAACCAAGAGGCTTTGCCAGAGGTCTTGATCCTGAACGAATAATTGGTGCCACAGACAGCAGTGGAGAATTAATGTTTCTCATGAAATGGTGAGTGTACAGATGATTGCTATTCTCTTTTAAAGTAAGAGTAGATTTTTTTTTTTAATTTGTGAAGCCTTACCTAGAAAAGGTTTTCTAGTTTTCATCATTAGATAGTATCTGCTGAAAGGATGATTCTAGGATTTTTGTAGTTTGGGGGTCTTTGGTTTTGTTCTGTTTTTTTGCTAATGGTGTTTTAAAGCAAAGATTAGCCTGTTTGGGAAAATGTAGTTTTATTGGAACACAGCTACAAGTATCTGCTTCTGAAGCACTTCAGTATCTTTTGATTGAATTATGACTTAAGTGAAAGATTCTCAGTTGGCAAAAACAGTTGAGACTTTTGACTGAACCTTTTTTTCCTCACAACAGGAAAGATTCAGATGAGGCAGACTTGGTGCTGGCAAAAGAGGCAAATATGAAGTGTCCTCAGATTGTAATTGCTTTTTATGAAGAGAGACTAACT